AGATAGATAGATAGATAGATAGATAGATAGATAGATAGATAGATAGATAGATAGATAGATAGATAGATATAGGATCCTGGTCATTCACATAACACCTTATAATCCAATATAGATGGGCAAGCGAACAGACAGATAGACATAACACCTTATAATCCAAGATAGATGGACGGACAGACAGATGGATAGATATAGGATCCTGGTCACTCACATAACACCTTATAATCCAAGATGGGACAGACGGACAGACAGACAGACAGATAGATAGATAGATATAGGATCCTAGTCATTCACATAACACCTTATAATCCAAGATAGATGGGCGAGCGAACAGACAGACATAACACCTTATAATCCAAGATAGATGGACGGACGGACAGATGGATACATATAGGATCCTGGTCACTCACATAACACCTTATTATCCAAGATGGACGGACAGATAGATAGATATAGTATCCTGGTCATTCACATAACACCTTATAATCCAAGATGGACGGACAGATGGATAGATATAGGATCCTGGTCATTCACATAACACCTTATAATCCAAGATGGACGGACGGACAGATAGATAGATATAGGATCCTGGTCACTCACATAATACCTTATTATCCAAGATGGATGGACAGATAGATAGATATAGGATCCTGGTCATTCACATAACACCTTATAATCCAAGATGGGTGGACAGACAGACAGACGTAACACCTTATAATCCAAGATCGATGGACGGACAGACGGACAGATCGATAGATGTAGGATCCTGGTCATTCACATAACACCTTATAATCCAAGATAGATGGACGGACAGAAAGATAGACAAATAGATAGATGGATAGAGGATCCTGGTCATTCTTACATACAAAGGTGATATAGAGGCAATTTAGGCTGTTTAGTTAGTTCACTTTGAGATCTGTTTTAGAGACTCCCTGATCCTCCAAAGTGGATTTTCAAAGAAAATAGCTCAGGTGGGAATCTTCAAATAAAAAAAATCTCTTAAACCCAACCCATTACATTGAATCATGATGCTGAGAAAACCGTGAGGAATGCTCTGCACCAGAGCTGGGAATGGTGAGGTCCTCCAGATGTTGCTGAAACTGCAACTTTCTGCATTCTTTGTCACAGACTTTTTGTATTTCACATTATATTTTATCCCACCTTTCTCCTGCTATAGGAACTCAAGGCAACTACTGGAAGGTGCAGTCCAATAATATCTGGAGGGATGTAGATTCCCAGCCCTGATCTGCACTGAAGAACAATTTAAAATATATTGTTATAACCTTATACCAGAGGCAGGCAAGGTTTGGGCTGAATGCACCCTATGGACTATTTTCAGGCCCTCCCTCAGTCACAATTTTTTAAAAATTTGGTTTTACTCCAGAATACCTTCAAATGCATTCTAGCATGTATAGAGTGCATTCCCACCACTTCTGGATCCCTGGGTCCAAAAGCAATTTTTGCAATATACTTCAAAAATATTTTTACCTTATGTTCACTAGAGCAGGGCTTCTTAAACTTTTGCAACCCATGAACATTTTTCACCTGAGAATTTTTTACTCGACCTTGAGTATAGGAATATCAAATCACTATATAAATCTAAATAATAAATAAATGTACGTTAAAACAATTTTTGCTGTAGCTATACATAAATTTTAACATTGACATGTAGCTCTGAGTTACAAACATTTAACTTACAAACAACTCATCATTAAGAATGGGGTTGAGACAACAGGAAGTGAAAGAAATCTACTCCTAGGAAGGGAAATTCACTCCTGAAAGAGTTAGGGGGAAAGGTGTCTCCACTCAAGCTCTTATCACCAATCCTTGTTTCCACTACAGGTCACATTTTTCAAAATCCAATTCTCATGGAGACAAAAAATGAGGTGAAATCTTCCAAACTGGCACAGACAGCAAAACAATCACCACAGGGATGTTAACTTTTTACGCTAAATATTAGGCATGTGCAATCCATGGTTCTAAAGTTCTTATAAAACTAAAGTTCTGGTGGTGAAAACTAGGGGGCGCTGGTGCTTTGCTTCTACAGTGTTGCTAAAGTTCTGGTGGTGAAAATTTCAGAACTCTAACTCTAAAACATGAGTGCAGTGTTGCGATTGAGGAAAGTCATAGTCCCACTCTATTTGGTCAGATCCCACCTAGAATAACACTGCATCCAGTTGTGGGCACCACAATTTAAGAGGGACATTGGCA